CTTCTGACTATCACACGTATAAAAAATAAAAAAATCAAAATACATATTACAATATAGATCTATTTTAACTTTGAAATTATTGAATTATTATATTTTTTTATAGTGATAAATATGAACATCTAAATTTAAGCTTAATCTGGTATATAAAAGAAATTGAATTTAGAGTAAAAGCAGAAATTTAGTGTAAAATATTAAATACACAAGTCTATTTCAAAAAACCCAAAAAGTAAAATTAGATTTTTTGCAACCTTTAAATAGAAATAGTTCATCCCCATTGATTACGGATATAAATAAGAGTGATGTTATAAAACATATTCCTATTTTAACTCCACAACGATTGTTGGCAATATATATATAAATGCGCGCAAGGCGTTCATACCATCTGGATTTCTCTCTCTTAGTTTTGTGAATTTGGGTTTCTCTCTCTTAGTTTTGTTCATTTGGGTGTCTCTCTCCTAATTGTTTTCCTCTCTTATTTCCATTGATTGATTTGTTCTGTGTAAGAAGATGAGATTTGGAGGGGCCTTTCTCTCTCTTCTTGTGCTTGTCTTTTTGATTCAGAGCTGCTACTCTGCAACTGCTGATTCCATCGGATTGAAGAGGGCGAGTTTCCCCACTGGTTTTGTTTTTGGGACTGCTTCTTCAGCTTACCAGGTCTCTCTCTTCTCTCTTCTCTCTCTCTCTTCACTCTCTCCTCACTCTCTCCTCTCTCCTCTCTTATCTCTCCTCACTCTTCTCTCTCCTCTCTTATCTCTCCTCTCTCTTCTCTCTCTCCTCTCTTCTCTATCTTCTGCAATCAACTTTCTCGCTCTTCAGATCTTCTTTGTCTCAATTGTTTGTTATGGGACCGTTTCTTCGTCCGAACTCTCCCTCTCTCTCTCCACCCCAACCACACACACATTGGTAGGCCTGCAGAAGCACAGTACAAATTATTGTGGCTACTTTTCAATTTTTTTTTAATATGTGTACTATGTTTCCTCCAACATTGATTACTTCTACTCCCTTAGTCAAAAAAACACAATTGGGAGGATTTTATTTTTTGAAAATTACACTTATATTTATTATTGTAAATATTATTATAATTTTACCTAAAATTTCTCCGTTATTACTACTTTACCCATTTTATATCCATTTTTGCAACATTTTGTTAATTTTTTAAAAATGACCAAATTGCCCTTTTTAGATTTTCAAGATCGGAATTTAGTTTTGCATGAACTTAACATAATTGAGTTTTTTTTTTTTTTTTTTTTTTTTCAAACTCCTAAAATTTTTCATTTTCAGATTTTTAAAATCCAAAAATTACAAAATAAAAAATCTATAGTTTCGGAGTTCGATTTTTCTTTTTTTTTGGGACTTTCAAGGTTTGAATTTTGTTTATTTCGGATCCTAAAGATTCGAAAATAGCGCAATTTTGGACCCTAAAGTTCCAAATATATATATATTGTTTTTCGGATCCTAAAGATCTAAAAATAGGGTAGTTTTGGAAAAGTTTTTTGGGGCTTCTAAGAACGCTGTACAAGTAATATCCAAAATTTTGAATGTAATAAGTAAAAATTCTATATGAAATTGTAATTGCGTTTAAAATAATGGATATATGTGTAATTTTTTTTTTTTTTTTGTCTTTCTGAAATGTTGGAAGCCACCTAATAATTATTGGATAATTATTCTTACAAAAAAAATTGAAATTTGGGTTTTACAAATCTCACTATCTCACCATTTAAAAATTGGGTGGTATCTATTCAATCTAGAGATAATATTTTTTTCACGTGCATAGAGTGAACAATTATAAAATTTTTATTGAGATTAATCTATGAATTGAAGAGAATACGTCCCCAAAATTTGAAGCCATAGATTAATTCTATGGGGGATTTTATCCGAGGGGTAAATGAACATTCTACTCTCCAGGGAGTAGAATATATTTGGGCTTAATTGTTTATCTAGTGAGATGCTAATCCGGGTTTCTTATGCGATATTTGTAGCATGCCAATAGTATGGTAAATATCATCTCGTCGTCCATACACAATATGACTTCTTGAGCCGTGTATAATGGATATGGGCTGAAAAATCGCTCGTCTCCACTATATATGGTCGAACATTGAACATGGCATGAAACAAGTATCACGATTCTTTCATCTTTTCTTTTTTTTGTGACAGAAAGTAACTTTTTTTTTATTATTCACGGTTCTCTTGCTTTGGATATCTCCTCGAGTCGAAAAGAAAATTATTAGATCAATGTGATGTTTAGATTAGTAACTTTTTAAGTAATTTAAAATGTTAAGAGTATTATATTTTCAAATTCCGCCATAGCAAATCATGCCGGTCCTAAGCCAAGATAAAGGAGGGGGGCCGTGTTAGGTTGGCAACCGGTATAAAACTTTACAGTGTATTTTTATGAATTCTAGTCGACTCCAAATAGTTGGGATAAAGTTCAGAAGATAATTATAAGAATACTGAATTTTTTACTTCATTTAACGTTTCAGAACTATTTGATGAGAGGTCGTTCGGGAGTTGAATTTGTTTTATTTCCATTTAATTTTCATTAAACGTTGAAATATAAGCAGGAACAATAGTAACAAGTTTTAGTTTTTTGAGCACATGTTATTATTCTTTTGTCTTGTCGCTTTTCAGTATGAAGGAGCTGTGAAAGTGGATGGAAGAGGACCAACGGTTTGGGATACTTTTGCTCATTCTTTTGGTAATGCAATTTGTTTGAAGCCAATATAGTATTAAAAAGGATCGTATACTTTGAGACTATTTAGAGGTTACAATTACTTCTAGCCATTAGAGATTCAATTGGATGGTTTGAGGTATATCACAAAGTTCAAAATTTTTTTTTCTTGAACTTTGAATCTAGTTAAAGACAGATTCACAACCATTCAATTTGAAACTTGATATATAAGGATGATTGTGACCTCTATGTAGTAAAAATAAATGGTTATTTTTATATACGTAGGTCAAAGTACCTAAAAAAATAAAGAAGCGTGAGGTTTGTATAAAGCATCAACTTTAAATAATTAAAATAAGACGTGCTTCAAAATTATGGTGAAAGACACAATTGTTATGTTGGAAAGCTTTGCGATGGCACAAAAATCTTTCGTTAGCGATAATTATGAAATTTAAAGCTCAAAAAATAGTAAGATTGAGCAGATCTACGAATAATTGCAAAACTCAAAAAATGGATGGTCTAGATAAAGCATCACAAGATGCATTACCTTCATTATTTGAAATCTTTTTTTTTCTTTATATTCATACATCTCAATATCGAGATGATCAAATTCAAGTTTCTTTAGCTTCGAAACAACCTTTTCCGGGCACCTTACTTCAACGGTATAAGGTTCGCACTTTATATAAACTTTGTTCTAAATTGAAGGATCATGTTAAGTAAACAATTTTACCATAGGTGACTTTTAAAGTTCCTTTATTTAAGCAACTCATCAAGAATTTTGTTGAAGAACCCTAAATTATTATGAGTGTGTAATCCAAAGCAATTAAGGGTGTTCTAGTCATTTGTTCCACTTAGATTAATTTTTGAGCCAAATGAATTATATAACCCTACTTGTTCTGGTTATTAAACCTTGAGCATGTTTCTTGAATTGAAAAATCTTATTCCACATTCATAATCTTGAAGAAAAACAAGTTGGTAATTTGACCTCACTTAAGCACTATGCTAAAAGATGTAAATACCCTTCTTTCTTTATTTCGGTTTGCAAAGTTGGAATGATATTATTTAATAAAAAACATTTCCCAGATTCAGAACCCGAAATAATTAGATATATTATTTAGGTCATTTGGCTTGTGTAACCATTAATAGAATTTTTGAGGTGCTTTGACAATTTTGTTGATACTTTCCCTTTTTCGAATATAATTTCTACGAATTTATGTGCAATAAAATTAGGAAATTATATTCCACCTAGTATATTATGAAATTAGTTAATAAATTCCCTTACAAAAATCTCATATATCATTAGGTAAGGTGCTGGATTTCAGTAACGGCGATGTCGCAGTGGATCAATACCACAGATTTAATGTAAGTCCATCAGCTCTCAATATTTATTTGTAATTTTGAATTTTTTAGTATGTGGCCTAAGAAATAAAATCTTATTTTGTGTCCATAAACAAAATTATAATATTAACTATTATTTGTTTTTATAGGAAGACATCCAATTAATGGTGGACATGGGAA